TGATGATATTCAAAGCTCGAGAAAATAAGCAACCCACAAAAAAAGAAAAAAAGAGAGAAAAAAAGGGAAAGTGAAAGAGTGCAAAATAGTAAAAGACGCGATTTTTGGTCAGGACGCATTGGATGAGTCATGCGCCTGTTGTTTGTTTCACCTGAATGAGGAAGGACCGCCTCCGTAAAGTACAAAAAATATGATGAGATCAGAGATGAATCGAGTTGGACGGTAGTGGATACTGACCTCATCCAACCAGAAGAGACATACACAGAGGTGTATAAGGATCTATCTCAGTAGATTGCGTCTAGAATCGAAATAGTGGTGCAATATTTAAAACTCTAGGTTGCCCTTACCAAAAAGGCAAGTAAACAAATTAGCTAGCTGAATGGAATGTTAAATCTAAAATTATTGTCGTGCAATTTTTCATCGGTGGTTTTTATGATAGTATCGGTACTTTGCGGTGCATTGGGTTTGATACCACCTTTCGGGAGTCTTTCTTTAGAGTTGTGAAAGGGTAAGAACTGCACAGGAAGGATTCACCTGTTAGCGGACCACTACAAACAACTGATCGTTAAAAAGAGGCAGGGTAAAAATGCGAAAAATAGAGTTCCAAGCATTCAATCAGCGTGTCTATGAATCTTTAGAAAAGCGTAGCACTGCAAAGGATCGGCTATTTTTCCGGATTCGCGTGGTGTGGTGTGGTGATATTTCTACCGCTCACGTGAGCGGTACGGGTTCGAGGGTTGCGAATGCTATGGAAGGGCTCTCTCGTTGCCTTTCCAACCGCCGTTTTGCCTGTTCGCGCGTAATTGTTAATTTGGACCGGTGAAAGACCATGCCGAAGCGCCGGACGAGGTGGCGGGCTTAGGCTCCGCTGGGATGTCGTGTGGAGGGAAGGATTGGAAGCCGCTGCCCTTCCTTCCACGACCTTTTTTGGACGAATGCGCGGCGCCACCACCCCCTGGACCGAAGGCGTCGCGGAGGTGGCTCGCCGTACTACTCGAAACGGCGTACTTCTGGGGTTCCTCCTGTCAACAGCACTGCTGGGATTACTAATATTGCGTTTGGTGGTGGTGGTGGTGAACCCGAGCGGTGGGCAGGATGGCGGCGGTGAAATCGACCCGGCTCGACTCAAGGCGCCGGCGAAAGGGGTGGGGCTTCGCAAGGTCCTGCCGGGCGAACGCGCGGAGACGGCCGTCCCACCCCCCGCCTTGTTTGCCGCGTCCAACTGCAAGAGCAGCCCCACGTCGACGTCGTCCACGCAGAGCGGCGGGGCTGCCGAGCCAGCAGGCGCCCCCTCCTGTTGGGTCAACTCCCCCCATCGCTTCAACGCCTCGTGGAGGTGGGAGTGGATCTGCGGGAGCTCGCGCGCCGCGCGCCTTCGCAGGGCCTCCTCCTGGAGCAAACACTTTGCCATATTCACGCGCTTGCTCAGCAGCCGCTCCTTGCGGCCCTGGAGCATCGCCTGCTGCTCGCTGAGGATCCCGCGACGGCTCTCCAGCAGCCGCCGGACCTCCCGCAGGAGCCCGACCCGCTCGAGCCAAACCCGGCGCTCCGACCGCATCCGGGCGATCCGCCGCTCCGCGGCGGCCAAACGCGCGTAAAACCCCCCCAAGCCCCCCCCATCGCCCTCTTCGAGGCTTTGGCGAGGCCGACTCCCCGCCTCGCCCGGGGCTTCGGGATCCTCGCCGGGGCTTGGCTCGGCCTGGGGTTCGTAGGGGCGGGCGGCGAGGGCGTGGTATTCGCGCCTTTTGGCCTCGAGGCTCCCCCGGGCGGCGTCGAGGCC